ACAATAGATTTGTCGTGCTTGGTAATTTTCCAATTTAAACTGTACTGGTTAGATTGAAGGAAGGGATGGGAATGGCGTATGACAGTTGGGGATAAGATAGAAATGTGTCAGTTCCCCTTAGATAAAGATAGACCTGTTTTTACGTTTCTTTATTTAATTCTTCAATATATTCAATCTGTTTCTTTTTCGATGTCTCGTCCTGTATATTGTTTACAGTAAAGTGTTTTTGATTATTTATCAGTATTAAATTTTGAAAATTTTAAAATTAATTAAATTTGTATACATTACTTTTTATAAATTGTTGATAAATTAATTTTTCTAAAATTTACTTACATCAAACATTCAATTCCTGAGTTATTAAATTTCAAAATGTATATTAAAGATTTAGCTTTAAAAACTTTCAAATTAGCATTCGAGACTAGTACATTAACCTTGAAATGAAAATTAAAGCGAAATGACGTACAGGGGAAACACACTCTGGTGTATATAAGTTTTCAACAGAAGTCTTAAACTCAGGTATTGAAAATAAATATTGGATAATTTCGATAAACCGACACCAAGTGTTCAGCGTTCGCACGTAAACAAATTACTCATTTTTTTAAAGCTCCCAACTTGTTAATACAAAGTAACAAAACCTGAATTTAGTTTAGCATTCTGATGCAAATAACGGTTTTGAAAAAATGAATATTTCAATTTGTCGCGACATGCATCTTTCTTTATGGGTATGTTAAACCCACACGAATAGGTAGTCCATTATTTTAATTGCTCATTGCAAAATTTCGCAGCTTATATAGGCGTCAAAACGAACCAACCAAGGAAGGAATTATACATATATCGACAATTAAGGCATACATAAGAATGTTAATTCTAATTTCAATTCCCTTCACATGACAATTGCCTCAATTTATTTGAAAATTATTATTATTATTATCTGACCTAGTTAAAAAATTACTTGTGATGTTTACAATTTGATTTGGAACAAAATTACGGTTTAAGAGGTATTAAAGATTTACAAACCTTAAAATACAAATTAAGTGCTTCGACCCTTCTCGACAACCCTGTATACTACCTACACCATTTCATTAAAGATAAGTAAATAGATTCATGACTCATATACAGATCATAGATAACGACATGCCAAAATAATAAAATTTCTTCTGGTGTTTTCTCCATTAAAAAACGATATTTCCTCCTTAGATAATAAAGTTTCTTCCTTAGAAAATAATGTTTCTGCTTATATTTCTTCCTTAGAAGAAAAGATGACTTCTGAAATGTCTTCTATATAAATTAAAGTCTCCTCTGATATCTTTCTATCTATAAGAAATGAAATTTCTTCCATTGAGGAGAAAATAGTGTCTTTCGTTGAGTAATAATGAAAGAGATGGAAAAGAAGAAATTGAGAAAACAGAACTGGCCAAGGACGTTGAAATAAAGTACCATGAAGTATCAAAGCTGAAATTGAAAGGAATTGTAAACTCAGCTCATGTTAAAGGCCTAACTTTTGACGGAAAAATGTCATGGATTAATTTCCTAACAGTTCGAAATAGCTGCGAGAGCTAACGACTGGTTTGAAAGAGTAAATTTGACTATCGTTCTTTGAGAGATGCTTTAGATGTTCTTCAGGCTATACCTGTGGAAGAGACCGATGACTTTGAACAACATAAAAAGAGACGGAAAATGAGATATGGCCACGACCACTTGGAACATTTATATCAATCATAGGTGAAGAATCGCAAAAAAACGGGACGAGACCCTTTAAGAATACGAAATAGGTTGTTGCTATTTGCCTAACCATCAGCTTCAAAAAACATGATGGAATGTTTGGCAGTCCAAATATTTGTTGATTGACTCCGGAACGATGAAATGCAGAAAACACTCCGCTTAACTCGTCACAAAACATCGGTTGATGTTTTGTTCTCTGCTCTAGAATATGAGGCAACTACGCAGGCATCTAGTCGATACAGTAAAGTGAGGACTGTAAAAGAGGAAGAAGAGGAAGATAAACTCAACCAACTGGTTAACATGATGGAGAGCCTTACTGACAAGAAGATGAAGACAAAGACCATTAGGTGCCTAAATTGTGGTGAACTGGGACATGTACGCAGTCGTGCAAACACAATCTGGTTACAACAAACCAAGATAATATGCCGCAAGAAAACTAAAGCGGGTTGGCCTAGAGGGAGCAGCTTCGGCCGGAACCGTTGCAAAGATCCTCTCATACTGATAGCCGTTTTAAAATGTCGCGATGGTAGTGTGTATACGTAGAGAGCGTAGTAAATGGTAGAAAGTAAACATTTTTTGTGGATACTGGTGCAACAAGGACCATTATACGACCATAAATAACCGCAAGAATACTTTTACCATCAAGGTTGCGACTGCGAACTGCCACAGGTGAAAGGGCCAACATCAATGGGAAAATATCTGATATCTGATATTGAAGGGATGTTATAACAAGGAACGGATGTAATGATGGCTTCCTGTTATATTTTAAAAATGATCAAGGTTGGTGCCGAAGAGGTATTCCTCCATCCATATGGGAACAGTACCGTGTCAGTAGCTGTACAGGAAGATAAGGTGGTACCTAGTAGAAATGAAACCATTATAGTAGCCGAACTTCAAGAAACTGAGGAAGAAGGTCACGACCGAAGATTCCGGGACATGTTATGAGCGTTAACGATCACTCAATTACCATCAAGAGATCAGAATCGGAACATGTGTACCAGTAACTTCCCATAATTCGTCAGACGACAACTTCCAATAATTCCAACGACGCGCGAAGACTGGCATTTGTGTTCCGAAATTTTGATCGATTACCAGAACTTCAAGGTCAGTAACGGGCTCCAAGAAAATTCGTGAAATTTTAAGATGGATCACGGTACCATTTATATCTGGTATTACTTAGTCTGAGGGAGCACCAGTTGAATTGGAAGATCATTAGAAACATGGTGGAAGTAATCTTCGAAGATACGAGATCTATTGGTCTGCAGCTATTCGCTTAGTGTCCAGGGTACAGCGAAGACCATCCCTTGTTACTTCCATACAAATAGAAATTGTAAAAGAGTGTCCAGTTACAGATACAACCATTCAGTGTCAGTTCCAGGAGAAACTCTTAAGGAGGGGGCAATGTCAGGCGAGCCATTTTCAAGCAATCCGGACTTGATCTTTATCTTATCGTTTTAAGCCGCCCGCATGTGTTTCGCTGCCACTGGCCTTGAGATACGAAAAGTTAGTGGAAGATTTGTTTGCGCGCATGAAGGCAGAATTTCGAGAACATCTAGGCTAGCATCGAGATTCTTTGAGACAGGACTAAGGCAGGCCGGTACATTTTTGTATATAAGTAGGGTTCTTTTGCCGTTACTTAATTTAAAAAAAAATATTGTCGAGAAAAGATAAATTGTTAAAGCAAATATAAATCAGTGTAGTTTTGAGTACAAATAAATTAGTTATAAAATATGGCATATTTAGTAAATATAAATTAGAATAATTAAAACTGTTTAAAATAAATAATCGTCACAATATATGATATGATTTCCGGATTCTATAAGATATTATATAGATACTATAATGTTAAGATTTCTAACAGCGATTTTGAAGCACTTCCCGTAAAGACAAAAAATATACAAACTTTTGGAATGTAACCCTCAAAATCAATGAGATACCATGAAAAAATTAGAGCTAATACAACGGTATGGAAATTTTAATTTCACCGAATACCGTCGCGATATGCATTCTGTGCAAGGAGGCGAATTAGTACGCCTGAGTAAAACGTTCTTTCACAGTAAAATCACGTTGGCATTATTAGTAAGGGCAGAATGGGATTTTGGCTCCAATTTGGCTTAATTTTTGCAACAGAATCCAGTAACTTTGAAATTAAACATTTATACAACCGTTCGAGATTTGAATATTATGCGATTTTTAAACTTTTCTCGTTGAACTCTACAAAATGGTTTATAAATATATACCGATAGCTCGAAATTTCAAAAATCAATGTCATCTCTTGGTTTTTTATAAGAAAAAGGTTTGTACGGTCATTAAATACGAATTTTCAAAATGTTTTGAACTAGTTTAGAAGCATTATCGTTAGAGATAGACCCATACAACACACAACACTTATATACATTTTCAAAATCTTTGCGATTAGTTCATTAAAATGACAGATAAAAAGATTATGCTATCAATATGAGATTTGTAAGTTCAAAAACTTACAGATATAGGTTAACCACCAAAAAAAGGTTGGTAAATTTATTTTCTTTAAATTTATAATTATATTCATTAAAAATAATAATAATAAATATATAAATGTTGAAACAAATAAAATAATTAAATTAAAAAAAAAATCCGTGTTATTAAACAGAAAAAAATATAATGAAATCCACTAAAAAGGTCCGTCCAATTTGGGACAGAAAGCTACGATACTAAAAACAACATTTTAAAGTTTAAATTATAATAAACATCATGCCCAAGAAATCACCTAAAAAAATATAATAATAAAGTAACCACTAATTTGAAATTGACAATTTTTTTCATTAACATAAATCATATTGTCAAACCACCGTACATAATATATATTATCAGCTTTCTTCAGATTTAAAAACCTCTAATCTGAACTATGTAAGAGTCACCCCCCCCTTCCTATATAATAATAGCATGTATTTAAAATAATTCGGAAAGATTAAAACTCTAAAAAAAATTAACTACGTATCTTGGTTTTTACAAAATAACTTTGTTATAACCTAAAAATTTGAAATCGTTACGCCACTGATTTAGATTCCCACCATCCAATTTAAACTATGGCGCTGACTATGAAGACACTTTCGTGCATATTGCTATGACGCAGTTACACGTTTTACTATTGAAATAAAATCTACAATTTATTTCTTCATTACAGTTTAGACGAGCAATTTATCTCTTCTATTTAAAATGTTAACCGAATTAAGTAAATTTAACTTTGACATTTTTTTTAAATCTTTTACAAATTCATAAAACAAGATTTGACTTACCATCCCGTCACATAGAGAAACAGCCACTTTGGAGTTAGGATCACTTCTGATTCTTCCTGTATAAAAACACCCCAACACTCTAGGATCGTGTTTGGTTCTTTGCGTAAAATTCTCCTTAAAGTGTGTGACGATCTGTAAAAAAATGGAGGACTTTATTATTTTTTAAACAAGCCATATTTTTTTTCTAAATCAACTTTACCTTATCTCTTTTTAAAATTTATTTCAGAAAATTTAATTGTGATCTACCTTGAAAAAGTGACCTACATGTCAAATATATCAATCCGCTATTTCTGTATTAAGAGCCGAAAGTGCTACTTTGCCGCTCGAGATAAAAGATAAAAGAATTACACATAAGGCTTTTTCTACCATCACACGATATTACAGTAAACGCCAAATCTAAAGAACCAAGGACGCGCATTTATAATGCTAAGAACACGCCTACCGATGAATAGAATTGGTAGCTTACCTAGAAAGTTGTAAACCAGGGGCGCGTATATTTTAAGACATAAAATAAATGGAAAATAGTGAATGATGCTTGTTCATACATATTGCTTAGTGTTATTATTAGTACATAATTCTATAGTCAATTAAAAAATCATTATTTTTAGGTAAGCCGACTTTAGGTTAAGGAGAGCTCTGGTGGTCTAGTATTTTGTATTTTGACTGACATTAATTTTTTTATAAGCAAAATATGAAATAATGAGTCCTATGATTGAACGTTTACGTTATCCGTAACGTACATGTTAGGCCGAATTTTAAAAGTAACGAGGCAAGTTCGTATGATGGAAAACTGTTAAATTAGAACATAACAGGCGGAAAATAACAGTAATGTGTTGGAAAATTTTTTCCATCATACGAACTTGCCTCGTTACTGTTACCTAACATGTTACAGATAACGTAAACGTTCAATCATAGGACCCATTATGTGTATGAAGTAATATATCGTTCCGATCTTTTATACCGGGTCTTCATTTCAAAACTGGATAGTCCAAATAACTTCTGATTTTACGTAAATTTAAAAACAACAAAAACATGTTTAATTTTATATTATATAGCCTATAAGTAAATACAAACAACGTAAACAGTAAATCACAAATAAATAATGTTCAAATGACTTCGTCAGAAACAAAAATCTTTAGAAACAGAAGATAAATTTAAAAAATTAAATATAAAATATAAGTCAAAAATAAAATGCATGGATATGTGTGTAAAATACAAAAAAAATATAGAAAACTACGCAAGTTTAATTGCAAATAAACTACAGGATATATTTACCTGTTGCTTGTGCAGTTTGAAGTCTAAAGTAACTCCTTCCTTTTTTGTTGCGTCAAAATATTTAAAAACATTGTATATTACTTCACGACTTTGTCCGTTAATAACAGATCAGCGCTTTTTTTCACCCACAATAGAGGACATTATCAAAACTAAAAGCAGTCACGTTAATCAAAACACAGAAACAAGAAACAAACAATGATCTAGTCGTTACGCTACTGACCGTAAGCAAGGACAAGGTTCAAATTGTGAATGGGCGTGGCGATTTTTAAGTAAACGAATTTGAGCATTTGCGCTGGTTCTTTAGATTTGGCGTTTACTGTACCATGTTATGATGTGTGAGTTGTGTTGCCTACTTACGTGCAAATTGAAAACGGGGTAATCTATTTTTAATTTTTCAGTTATCGTTTCAATATTAAGAAGGGAAATGGATTTAACAAAATTATTTAGATTAGTCTACAATTTTGTTTTAAAATTTCGATTAGCTTTCCTTTATTTACTGCAAAATGAAAATCAACAAGCTCTAAAGTATAACTTTTGCGCACGCGTGCGCCAATAATATCAAATTATGACAAATCCCGGAAAACGTCAACTTTCCAGTTAGATTTGTATGCGTAAAAGCCTACTTTGTATAGTGATCGTAAAGAAAATATTCAAAAAAATTAAAGAAGGATTGCACTTACTGACTAAAATTAAACTGATAAATCTATGATATAAATCAAATGCATCAAAATAGATTGAATCGATTAAAATGAGGTAAATACTTAGAATATAGAACAATGACATGACAAATATTATTCTAGTATGTGGCTGCACACTATATACGTGTTATACACAACCAATCTGCCTATTTGTAAAAGTATATTGCAGTATTTATAAAATATTCACAGAATATATTTCCTAATCCACATTCTAGAAAGATATCCCAGGCATATGTATTTTTAGATATACGTAGAATATTCATTTTTCATATTTTAGATATATCTGTAGAATATTATTTTATATTTAACTATTTTATTTTATTAACTAGTTATAAGTATAAATGGAGACATAACAACCAGAAACACACTTGTTTAGTTTATAAAGACCTAAACAAAAACGTCAACTTAGAACTCTGGAATATAACTTTACTCATGCAAACTCATTTTCAATTAATAAGAAAAAATTAAACCTTTGAAATCGAATTATCTTTATAGATAAAAAAATAAGAAATACGTAAGTATAGTTTTCTCATAATGTAGACAAGAAAAGAATAATTTCTACCAAAAGTATATGCGCAAAGTACGTTGGTAGTAGGTAAAAATAACTTGTATCTCATTGGCCCAATCATAATCTAACCTCTCGTTAGAATGTGAAGAATATTTTTTATCCATAATACCCTGGTCAATTAAATTAAATGATTAAGGCCACTAATAAAAAAAAAGAAGAATATGACACATAACCAAACTTTTTGTCCATTGTCAGAATGTGGAGAGTGTTGGCAAGTTTTCATAGGTAAGCCTAATTATTATAAAATGCGATCCTTCTGTTGTATCAGTGTGGTGCTTAAAATTATAAATAATTAATAAATAATATTTTATGAGAAGTGTGAAACAATTGGTAGAGTATGAGTATCTTTTAATGACAAATAGGTACCTAATGTAAGTTTCTTACTGAATCTTCCGAGGCAATACTGTTATTACTTCCATCAGGAAAAAACTGATTTTGTTACACCATCTCCCAATGTTAATTAAATTCAATAATAAATCACCCAGTGTTAGTAATATGGTAACTGATCAATGTAACAGTTTAGAGGAAATCAAAATATTATAAGTTGTTCGTAATAAAATTTCACACAAGACACTATGTAAGTAGTCATATTTTTTTTAGACGTCTGTAGTACAAAAACGACAACTTAAAAAATGTAGAGGAATCCATTGCTATATTTTTAACTACGCACGGCTCTGAATTAAATCCAACAAAATGATACTAAAAAAAAAGAAACATTTGTTGTAGATCGCTTTAACTAATGCCTCACATAAAATCCGGTAAAATCTATTAGCAAAAAATAGAAGTTGCTTCGAAAAAAGGAAATCTGATAGAAAATAATTTAAGATTTACAGAGAGGATTTTAATAAATAATATCAAAGCATAAACGGGAAATAAACAGTACGTTAACCGAGGCATGAAGCAAAATAAAGATGAGATGCTCATATTTGGACGTGAGTAGGAGCAAAGAGAGTAACTTGGTTTAACTAAGCCCTTTCGATGGCAAGGAGGAAATATTGCGGTCGGCAGTCAATGATGAATTATTTAAATTTCTGTCTAATTAATAGCATTGTTTTCCTATACCGTTCTCCTGGAGTCAGTATTGCAAAATTAATTTATTGTATACATTAGGATGTGTCATGTTTGAGCAACTTTTTTTTTTCAACTAAAAAACAGGCTTAAAATTTTCGGAGTAAAAAATAGCCTCTAAAAATTTGAGCTCTTAATATTAATATTAAGTGGTGCCTGTTCCTAACTTTAAAATAAAAGTCATAATTTCATACATTTGCAACTTTAAGTTATAATATCTTCAGAACGGCTCACTCCATGAAAAAATAAATTAAAACTTTTTTGGAGAGCGTTCAATTTCCTACCAAAATAATTTTTCAGTTTATTTTTTAAATGCTCAAATGTCAAGCTACAAAAATAAAAGAAAAGAAAAAGAAAATTTCCATGTTATTTAAATAGAAAATGGAAAGTTAGGAATAGGGAACAGGCACCACTAAATGTTAATATTAAGAGATCAAATTTTTAGGGGCTTCTATTTTCACCTTCCTGAAAGTTTTTAGCCTATTTTTTAGTTGAAAAAAAAAGTTGCTCAAAAATGACACACCCTAGAATACATAAGTGAGATGCAAAGCATCAAAGGCACAAACTAAAAAAATTTTAAAAGTAGTATTTTTGACTTATTTTGAACAATCTCACGATAACAACCTGGTTAATTCATTTTTCCTATTAAGTGCTAGGAAATATATCCAATATAAAAAATGTCTAACCTATTGCTACAATTCATGTACTTTCATTTCTGTTGTAGTGAGACACGTGGGTCATCAACAAAGTGGGCTATCTCGAATGTAATCACTTAAAATGACGCAAACATTCATCAAAAGTAGGATATCAAGAAACAACCTCTACAAATCTTTCATTTTATGAAAACGCATATATTTCAGCTACTGTCAACCATCCAACCAACTAACTAACGAAAGAACTAACTGATTAATAAAAGAATATGACATTTTCAGCAGATCCTCGTAATTTAAATCCTATGTCAGAGTCGTATATGTGAAGATAAGATCACCTTTGCTGGCGCAATCAAACTTTGGACGAAATAGAAATTATATTATTTACATTTTTGTAAAATATTTTTTTTTATAATAATAAAGCAAAGAAAAAAGCGTAATGACTTACCTGATTTGTTAAAAAGCAAAGAATCAGTAGGTGTTAGTCCCAGACATGCTATTACGAATCTAAAATTTTGAATTAGAAGCGTTAGTAGATACAGAATATAGGTATTTTCTTGTGGTTCGTATGTACATATGAATAGAAACAGGTTTTTACATGATTTATAGCATACATGAAAAAAATGTTTTTTCTTTTAGGTTTTCTAGATTATTAAAATTTTGGAATTTAGTTGGTTTTTAGTAAAATGTATTCAATTACATTCTGTCTAAATTCTCTAATAAAAGACCTTTGTCGCAGTGTTTTCTACACACATAAAATAAGCAAGATGTTTTAGTCTAAGAATGTACACAAGCTGGAATTAATTTAGAATGAAAAACTTAGAAATTAAATTAACACATTTATGTGTACTTACATGTAAATTTGGCGCGACGAATTTGCCGTTGAAGTCCAATTCTAAAATGAGTTTTTTTCCAAATGCGTCGATTTCATAAAAGGGATGAAGATCCCATGAGTTAGCTTGTTTCTGTCTAAAATGGCCATATTGGTTAAACGATGGATTTTCTGAAACAAATATACACATTTTCAAGACATTTCATGAATTCAAACATATCTTTTAAAATTTTTTTAAGATAGGTACTTTAACAAAGGATTAAATATAAATATTAACACATTTTGTCTTTTACATGGATGTGTCCTAGCTCTTCACTCGAATAGCTATAAGGAACTGTATTTCTGTAACCCAGAGGTAAACTGTACGAAAATCGGATTTTAAGTGATACACACAAAACTTTTTTCGGGAATCAGAAGAAAATACTTTTAAAGTCAAATACAGACAGAGTAACGAAAAAATCAAAGGTAAATTGTACTAAGTCACAGAGTCATTGAGAGGTAAACTATATCAAACGGAGGTAGTATTTTTGAGCTGCTGTACTATCTCCGTTAAAGGTGGACTTGGTATAAAACTCAAGATACTATCTCCATCGCACGTCAAAACTCAAGATACTATCTCCATCAAAACAGCCAGACACGTTAGAACAGGAAATTCTCTGTTTTCTCGTATTTTTTGCTTAGCCTTCTGACGATTTTTGTGATGAGAGGGTATGCTAAAAATGAGTTTTAGAACATTTTTGCCGACTTAAAGGCAGCGGCGGTAGTTCAACCAAGGGAAGGTGAGGACTTGGTACAAAACGGTAAGTAACTTTTTTATTTTTCAGTAATTATTAAAAATATAAAATATATCATTTTACAATATTATGTCAACCCATAAATAATTCACCATAATATTAGTCCAATTCCTGTTAGGTCACAGTATGCTAAATTCTTTTTACAAATGTTCGTTAATTCAAGTAGGTAATAAACAGCGCTTTGTTCTGGTTTTTGTCTTATTATAATTATAACTTTCATTAGTGATTAACACCACCAATAAAAGCCTTGAATAAACGTTGTTTTTGTAATCATGACTATCATGACAACTTTTTTAAAGGAAAATTCCCATTATGTGTTTTTTTTAAACTGTGTTATATAAAGAGCTGTTTTGGCAGTATTCTAAAAGTAGCATTGTCCATCCTAAGAAGATATTTCATTTATACGTAACAGTACTTTGTTTTAATTTAGAATCTTCAGGTGTCTATTATGGTCAAAGTTTGCCAGAAGTTTATGATGATACCAGCATTTTGGTTGGGAGCCCACAATCTCTCGTGAGTCCTGTGGCGAAAGATTCCATTTATGAACCGATTTGTTTTAAACTTGAAATTTGGGGTGTTTATAAGGTCATTGATTATAATTTTTGTTTAAACCTTGAAAATTTAAAATGGCGAAAACGTTTTACCGAGTTATACTATATAATAAAAATAGTTGTGCTTTAAAAGTGATCTAGAAGTACCGATTCAATTTGTAGGGTTTTTTGAAAGTTGGAATTTTGTTGCAGGTATAGACAAAGTAAATCAGAAGCTACCTGCAGAAGAGGTTTCTACCGTTGAACATTTTTTTCCGATGATGGCAACAAGCAATCTGCAAGTGAACAGGAAAGAAACCAAGTTCCGACAAAATCGACTGAAAATTTTATTATCGATCTGTTAGTCAATTCAGATGATAGCCTAAAAGATCCAAATTATAACAACCCAGAAAGTAATGGGAGCAACAACGCCACTAGCGATAATGAAAGCAGTGATAATTCTGAAAAAAAAAAAACCTGTTTTGAATGATGAAGTAAGTTTGTAGACAAGTAGAAAACGTCAGAGGAATCCTGACAACTGAAAATGCAACGTAAGGAAACGGAAATACCATTGTGGACAAGAATACATTTTCAAAAATAAAACTTTAATTTAGCCCAAGACCCTGGGTCCTCCATATAGTGACGCATGCAGATTTAAATGTTCCCTAAAGATAACGCCGGAACAACGACGAAATATTTTTAAAACATTTTGGTCGCCATCCAAGTCAATTGAACTTAAAAGGCAGTTCGTGGCTTCCAGCGTTCAGTTAATCCAATTCAAAAGAAGGCGTCCAAAAACAGGAGAAAAGAAAAACCAAAAACAGTACAACAGAAAATTCACTTTTAGCATTGATAGTGTTCAAACAGGAATATGCAAGGTATTTTTTTTTAAATACGCTGTCAATCTCCCAGACTTTGGTTACAACAGCTTTGTCAAAAAAACTGGAAGGTGGAATGACGTAAGGAGATCAACGTGGCAAGAAAAATCGACCAAATAAAATATCAGCCCATATAAAAGAGAGCATAAGAAGTCACATATCAAAATTCCTCACTGTTCAATCACAATATAGTAGAGAACGCTCATCTAAAAAATATCTGGATAGCAATTTAACAATTTCCAAGATGTACGAAATGTACAGGGAAGAAATGTTGGAAAATAATGTTCCTGAAAATGAAATACCTAAGGGTAGGCTGTATTCTGAGATATTTAATAATGAATTTAACTACTCTTTTAAACTCCCGGATAATGATACATCCGAAAAGTGTGGTGAATTACTAATAAAGTTAAAGGATTTTTCTGGGGAAGAAAGGCAACAAATTCAGGAGAAATATGATCAGCACTTGAAAGAAGCGTCAAAAAGGTACGACCTGAAAAACAAAGTCAAAATAAATGCTCAAAGTAGCACAAATAAAGTGCCTCACGGTAGATCTGGAAAAATGTTTGCTAACACCTTCCTTGACAAATGCCCAAAGTTTTTATTCTTTAAAACTATGAACCTTCAATTATACAATTAGAGACACGACTAAGAACATTACTGCATGTTTTATGTGGGATGAAAGTATAGCAGGGAGATGTGGCAATGAATTCGCTTCATGCTTGATGAAATATTTGGTAACCAACATTGAACAATCAACTGAAGAAGTAACAATTTGGTCCGATAATTGTCCGTGTTAGAATCGGAACAATATTGCCATTTTGGCTTACGCCGCACTTTTAAAACTTATTCCAACTTTGAAGGTAATAAATCACAAATACCTCCCTAAGAGGGCATACTCGCCTTGAAGTTAACAGCGATCATTCGCTTATAGAGAGGGCCAAAAAAAAATGCCTAAATTACAGATTATGACGCCGTGGGATTGGCAACAACTTGTGAGACTGGCCAGTACAAGATTTACTGTGGTTAACATGAATATAACAGATTTTAAAGATTTATTGTCTTTAATTAATGGCACTAACGCACCACTTATTTAAAGAAACAAGTATTAGAAATTAAAAATTTAAAAAAAACCGACTTCAAAAACGTGCAGATGCCGTCACCACATCATACCAAATTTATATGGGACCACCCCTGAGGTATCCCCTTACTAACAAAAAAAAGAATCATATAAATCGGACAAGGTGGTAAAGCATTATCGCTAAACATACATAAAAAATGAAGAGTTTGAGGATTTTCTCACAGACCCAATTATTATATTTTGACCAAATTTTTATGGGACAAACCCTGAAGTACCCCGTTTCTAACAAAAAAAGAATTATTGAAATCGGACACCGTGTTGAAGAATTATTGCTGAACATACACACAAAAAAAAATCGCGACGAATTGAGAACCTCCTCCTTTTTTGAAGTCGGTTAAAAAATACGAAAACGGAAAAGGTGGTTCACCTGCAAGTTCGGTCTGAACAACCAGGCAAAGTTTTCTGCAAGACTTCTTTTGACGAAGAAGAGTTTAATGGCCTGAATTTAAACCGAAATATACGGAAGTCTGTGGCATTTCCAGACGAGTTAACATGCACCAAATCCTATTGGGGAAAAAAGAATAAACATTTTCAAAACTTATTAAAGTGGGTGTCAAAAACGATTCACGGTTTCTACCATCCTCAATAATAATAATCCGGATGATGAAGATTAGTTCTAAGATAGGTTACTAAGACCTTATTCATATTTTTTTTATTATTCTTCCAATTTATTATTGTAAAGAGTTCTTAAACTTTGTTCTTTGGTAGGTTCACCAAATTTTTGTTTTATTACTGAATGCAAAACTACCAGTAAGTAGTAAAATTATAACTTTACTATAGTTGTAGTAGCTCATAATTTGTGTTCGTTTTCTTTCAATGCCTTGTAAATGTAAGCTTAGAATAACAAAAAAAAATAAACAAAATTTAGTACATTTTTTTTTACAAAACGATCAGCAAAAAATACTCCTACGCATTTTTAAAAGTAAAGTCACATCTGCTGAAATTTTTAATAACAACTCCAATTTTTTTTAATTATAATTATGATTATAAAAAAATATTTTATTTTGGTTTTTGGCATTTTGTTCCTTGTACTAAGATATTCATTTGTTCCAATTTTTAAGAAAAACGAAACAATAAGTAACAAATAATCGTCATTTTGGTCACAAGTAAAACTTTAAACCGTTTTCATGTAAAATTTGCTAAATGATGCTTAGTACAGTTTACCTCTGGGGTACAGATTTGTATCTGTAAAGTGTTGAGGGTGAGTTGCTCCACAGTACTTAGGCATCACTAGGCCCATTGTGCATCCTCTTAATTTGATGGGCCCCTTTAAATCGCACGCTCTAGATATATTTAATTTTTGTAAATAATACATTCCAATTTGAGATATTGCATCTAATTTCCTGGTAAACAGTGTCAGTATTCCGTTACAAAGAAACCTCACAAACATATCACCTGACTTTTACGATCGACCAGCGAAGTCTTAGATACTTTTAAAAAATATTTTACGACTTTTGAAATTGATTTATCGACTGATGTCCTCAACCTAACAATCCGTTTTATTTATTGCAATTTTTAAGGTTTCGAAAGCAATTATTTCAGAGAGGACAGTAGGACATGAATATAAATCTTTGTTATATGAAGGAATACAATAACATAAATTAAAATTATGATTTTTTTGTCAGAACAAGCAATGAGATGATTTCAGTTATACATTTTAAACGCACTTTCTCATAATATAATTAAAATTCTTGACTTATTCTACACCCATATGTACTTATAATATTTATTTTCTACACCCCCATAGATATTAGCTTATCTACGCGCAACTACAAAACTAAAAAGTATGATATTGCGTTCAACTGAACGAATATATATTTCATATCCATTCTACCTAGTAAGAATACTGCAAAATACACTGCGCACCAAAATTAACGTATAATTTTAAATTTATAATTTCGGCCTTTCTTTTGTTTTTTTAAGGTTGGTTTTAGAACATCTGAAATAAGAAACATGTATTGCAATAAGACTAACTGACATCATGAAAAAATAACAAAATGGAAAATTTTTAAAGTTTAAAAAAATTAATCTAATAGCGAGTGTTGCCTCCTGAAGCGTTTATTGGTGGGTTAGGTAGTTGTCGTAGTCGTCTTCCTACGATGTCCCAAACGTGTTCGATCGGGTTGAGGTTGAGACTTCTCACAGGCCAAACCATGGCAGGAATCTCAACCTTCTGACGATATTGTTGCACAATTCTTGCAACATGTGGCCTTGCATTATCATGCATAAGCATGAAATTCTCCCCAATAAATGGTGCAAATGGCAAGACATGCTCTTCTAAAATGTCTAATATACCTGTGTGCTGTAAGCCGCCCTCTATCTATCCTAACTAACGCCGTACGAGCCTCCAAATTAATCCCACCCTACACCATTATTGAGCCGCCACAATACTGTACAGTTCTTATAATGTTACACTGAGCGTAGCGTTCCCCAGGTCTTCTGTATACTCTGTTCCGTCTGTCGTCAGAAAAACGAGAGTACCTGGATTCATCGGTGAACAATATTCTTCCCCAATCTTCATTATTCCAAACAACATGTTCACGAACAAAATCCAATATTTGTCTTCTACGCTCTCTAGTCAATAATGGGCCAGTGGGTGCCCTTACAGGGCGCAGGTTATCTGCGGCAAGTCTTCTCCTTATTGTGTGTTGGCTTATTCTAAAATTATAACCATCCAAAAATTCGTTTTGTAGAGAATGACTGGTAACAAATTTTTGTCTCAGTGTACGAAGTCTCAAAAAGCGGTCTTGATCAGGAGTTGTAATCCTTTCACGGCCTTGACCGGGTATTGTTGAGTTACTCCCAGTGACAGCAAAACGTGTTAAAACTCTTGAAATGGTTGACTGAGTGACATTAAACCGTTCAGCGAGTTCAACTTGAGTGTAATACAATCTGATTCTTGACAAATTTCGATTTTCTTGCTGCTGATGGTTTATTTTAAGGGAAAACACTTAATAACTTGAAAAACTCCTTTGAAGATTTAGCCAAACGTATTCAAACCAAACTAAATTGGAATTAAAATAAAGAACTGCTATCATGTTTTCAATTTACTTACAAAAAATGATACAAACTATCAGCGTTTTTGCAGTTCTAGCGATTAATCTAGGAATTATATGTATATTATCACAAAAATCGAAACATTAAAATTTATTACGATTTTTAAAATTATGCGTTAATTTTGGTGCGCAGTATAGTAGTTTGTGCAACAAGAGTGGATATGATGGCCATATCGCACGAAAACGAAATTTGAGCACGACACCGTAGGCGGAGTGCTCAATCGTCTAAGTGCGATATGCACAATCCACTAGTTGTTCAGTATATTTTTTCTACGACCCACTACAAATCTACAAATATTAAAAATTATTTTAGGTTATTAAGATAAACTAATTAATTTAAAAATACTTTTTGACTTTTACTAATTTATAAAATAAACAAGAAATAAAAAGAAAAAAATTTGTTCCTTTTTCTCCATCTGAGATTTAATCTCGAGTCTTCCGTATGAAAGGCAAGTACCCTGACCACAGGACCATCTAAGCGTTTATTTTTTTGCTTTGATACTCGTAATTAAAATGACTTCATATAGTTTTATTTAAATTAACAAATTATTTATAATTATAGACGAAATAATAGTATATTATTAAACTAGCAATTTATGGTAGCCATTATTCACGCAGGGTTTACGTTTGCGTCCCGAGCCGTAGGCGAGTGACGCAAGTCACCCGAGTTTCAAAATTGCATATTTATATTATCTTCAATCATTTATTAAATAAATTATTAAAAAAATGTATTTTATTAAAAATGTCATTATAAATTATGAACACAAACGTAAATAAATGCCTCAAAGGTACACGATCACGGCTACTATGATTTGGATAATACAACTGCAGTTCTATAAAACATTCTTTGGTTTTTGCATGAACGTAGAAAAAATATTGTATGCAACTCGTGCAAAAAGTGTTTATTGCACTTGTTGCATAAATAACTATTAATTTAATTATTTTTTACTTACCAGAATTTAGAGGAGGACTAATTTTCATCGGTTTTACATATTCTAAATCATCCGTTTCAATATCGTCTAGATGAGTTTTTTCAATTTTTTCTGCAACAAAATAAACAAAAGTTATTTATTTTTCATTAAATATCTACAGTACAGTATCGTCATTTTTGTTAATAGGGTATAGATATCTATAAAACAAAGTAATTTTTTATTATTGTACATACTCACAAATTAGAGAGTTATTACCCTTTACGTTTCATGTAAGGATCTGTTTCGCTTTAAAAATAAAACGAAATTGGTCGTATTTACATCATTGACCGGAATTTTAACACGTTAAGCGCCACGCAGATTATGCTAAATATATTTTTTAATTATTTAAACACTCTTATATCGGGGCAAATGTTTGATAAAACTAAGCTAAAACGAAAAATTATTGTACGTAACGGTCACGCCACCACGTGTCATCTAAACGGATTTACATATTATGTTGATTGTGAAAATCAACCACATTATTGTCTAGAATGTTTTACAGCAAATCACAAATGCTAAAACATGTTGGCTACTTATTTTAAATTACTTATGACCTTTACTATTATAAAAATGATTTTCTAATGTGGTAAGAATATCATAATTTCAGATGTTTTTTATTTAAGAACTTGATTTCTTAATCTAAAGAGTCGGTCAATGTTGACTACCGTCGCCCTGTAGGAAACATCAGTGTCGGTCACAAGTGACCGCCGTGACAAATTTTTTTCGGTTAACAATAATATCGGGCAAGTGACCTCCTCTTGACCTTTGGCAGGATATCATTCTTTTTGGAAAATTCTCCACAACTTTTTCGCATAACTGCGGCGATATTTTACCAATTTCAGTAATAATGTTATCCCTAAGGTGCTGTATGGTTTGAGGATTATCAGCGTAGAATTTTTCCTTCAAGAATTTTTTCATACCCTGTATATATTATATTTAATAATTATAGTGACTAAATTATAACTTTATATACACGCAGAAAATAGTAATTGGAACTGAAAAAAACCCAAGAGATACATAAGTTGTTTTTTCTTTTTCCCCTTTTCTCCTCCTATCTCATTTCTTTTCCTTTCTACCCCTTTATCCTGTTTCCTTTTTCTTTGTAATTTTTTCCTTTTGTCACCCTCTCCATCTATTGAACTCGAAACTAAATAGGAGACATGAAACTATAATACTCTAAAAAGAAAATGCATTGTTACTGTGTGAGAAACTGCTTAAAGACTCCTCAATTAAAACTATAGGGTTATTGATCCATTGGGACACACAACGTACCTATTATAACTGTTTATTTTACTACCAAAAAAGTATCGTAGAAGTTACAGAAAACACCATTAAATTCTTAATGGCTCCTTATGCGTTCACAATTAAGGAGAGATATAAAACATGACTATCAATTAAAAGGGAATTAGAACTAATAAAATGGACGGTTACGATTAGCAAGTGCATCCTTAGAAGGTGATTGATCTCATAAAAAAAATAGTTTACACCGCCCATACTGAATAGTTGTACTTATACAGGGTGTCAATGCATCCATAATTATAATTATTCAGTTCAATTGTTGAGCAGTGTATAAGTGCAATCTTACTATTTACAACCGCCTTAAAATAAAATTATTTATGTATTAGAATTTCTAAGGATACAAATATATTTAAAAAAATACTATGACGTATTTTTTGCTTACAACCAACTGCTTTTGTGGCATTTCACATAACAGTTAAATACTATTTCAATTATACGGTTTTCTACTAGCCATAAAATAACGGATCCAAAATAGCTTTGGTTGTCCGTGGTTTCGGTTTGAGCCATATGCAATTGATATAATCCAAACACCCACCATAAAAGGTAATTTATACATAAAACAATAACTTCCTGTGAAATCTGATTTAATATTATTCTGATCTCTAATATTGTTATCTCGCTTAATATAAAAAATAAAAGGTTGGTTAAATAGGGAGTGTTTTAGATAATTTACTGTTGTTTTCGTATCTGTTGTCAAAATTTTTAAAAGTTATATAGTTTTTAAGTTAAAAAAACTAAAAATGGCATATTTCTTTTAAATTTAAATATCGAATTATCCCCTTAACTTTTTATAAAAAATTCTGGTAAAATTTTTAGAAACAAAACTGCTAAAAATAATTCCAATACATATGGTGCTTGATTAAGGGTGGTTGTATCTGATAAATTATACGTCGTCGTACAATTTTGAACAAATTGGTCATGAGTTTGTAACCTACCGCACCCAGGTATCTTAATAATTTATTAATTTCATACAATATTGCATTCTTAATAATAATAATAATAATAATAATAATAATTAAATCTTATTTACGACACCTAATAAATAATAGCTATAACCACGTCCGTAATATATCCACGTGTCTCTGAGAACCAGCCCAAAGAAAACATATATCTTTTCAAGAAGTAATTATCATTAAAACACTTAACTCGCTTATCTTGCTAGTTTCGATGTTAAGACCGATTTCGACTATATTTTGATACACAAAGCTTTCAAGGCAAGTAATAAATAAGCCACCCCCTGCACCCACCGTATTTCGATGAGAACTAAAGACATAGAGACGTCACAAAGCCATTAAAATTTTAGTATAAGAAGTCAGACCCAAATGAGCTCGTATTCATTCATTTTTAATTATTTGATGTGCATGCATTCATTTTTATTATTTGATGTGCAAGCAATCATTTATTATTTGTATCCACTTATATTTCACGTTCAGTAGTCAGTCCCTTTCCTAAAACGCTCTTCCTAAACGACGTCTATCCTACAATACCTCCTATCCCCGAAGGTGTCAACGTCTCGACGCCCAACGTACTGCCGTCCTACTCCCTACGTCTCGAACGCTGTCACACTCCTCACCATCTAAGTATTTCCTACTGTACACTCATTTCGACGCTCAACGTCCCCCGCCTTATTTCCGACACTTGGCGTCCCCAAATATTTCCTTTATAATATCACGTCCCGCACCACCTACATAATTCTACCGTATCTATGTCTCAATGCAGTACCGTATTAAATATCTTCCTTTCCACCACGACGCTAGGCGCCTCGACGCTTAACGCTGCGACGTACCTAAATCGACGCCGTCACAACGCTAGATGAAATTAGTACATAATCTAATGTCTGTATTTTCAATGGTGAGTTGTATGTAACTTCTTTGAGATACCACCGGGGTTTCGTTTAAGGGTGGCTTGACATTTGCTACAAAATATTATCAATTTAACCAATAAACCACATGGCCTTCAGGTCATACACCCCGAAAGACAGTAAGGATAAACATCTGTTTTCGATGGGTGAAATTTTGAGTATTTTAATAGAAATTATGAAAATCAATATTAAGAAATATACAGGGTTGTATTAAGTTATTTCAATAGAAATTATAATAATCAATATTAAAACATATACAGGGTTGTATTAAGTCTTTTCAATAGAAATTATAAAAATCAATATCTTGGACAAATTGTACAAACCAAGATGGTAAATTTTAATAGTAAGTTAACCAACTGGCAAATACGCTATTCGTTAGCTCAAGGGGGGACACATATACGCTAAGCAACCCGTTCTACAAGGTTTGAAATAAAGTATATGTGAAATCAACAGAGTAAGGTAATCAACTGGCGAATTGGCGCTGTTTGTTACTTCCGTTGGTCATCACCTCTATACTCATCGTAATATTTACCTAAGAGGGTGCAACCTGTGTATATCTAGAATAGAATCAAATCAACATCAACACAATAGGTAATCAACTGGCGAATTGGCGCTGTTGGTTAACTCCGTTGGTCATCAACCTAACTAAGAATATAAGCATCAACACAGTAGTTAATCAACTGGCGAATTGACGCTGTTCATTAACTTCGTTGGTCATCAACCTAAATAAAATATATATTGATAGCAAATCAATATGGTCTGCGTTTGAACGGGACTCAAGTGAGATCTCAGTAAATAGTAACAATTGTAATATACTTTGCTAATTATTGCATCACATTTAAAGTATGAAAAATATAAAGGAGTTTAAATATGAATTTGTATGTAGGCCAAATACAGTAAGTATAGAATTTAAAATAAAATAAACTTTTGAGGTAAAAAAAAAATAATATTCAAAGAGTAAAACAACTAACAGAACAAAATAAAGGGGCCAGGGGACGGGCCGTCACAAGTTCATGAGAAATCGATTAAAATTTAAGTCCCTAACTCCGCCATTATGTCTTAATCTAAAAATTTTGTCCAATAGAATTGTTATTTTGACTATAGTGTATCAGTAATAAGAAAAGGCGCATCACATAGTTTTAATAAAAATAATTGCATTTATCGTTATCAAATTGTTTTTAATGACCGAATATTTTAACTCCCATTATCCCAATTTGATTTTTATTATTAATGTGACAATAGAACTTTAATTTACTGTTGCATTATTAACATTCTTAAACGGGCTAAATTTTGTTTGTTCAAAAAGATACGAGGGTAAATTAAGAAATTTTCGAAAGAGGTAAAAAAAATGTAATTAAAAAAATACGTGTGGCACTCGGGGACTGCCGCGGTAAAGCTATTGCATAGCATTTTTTATCAACTTATGCATTTATAATTATTTGATTTTATTTATGCAGTATTTTTTTTTTCTTTGATATTAATTCAAGTTACACTTTTTGAGCGTGGTGACCGATAAGAAAACAATTTTTTTTCTTTTATTAAATAAATGAGAAGTTAATATTGTTTAAAATATTTTTATTATCTTACAATACATGTAGGTTATTCAGGAATTTTTATAATTAAAACTATAGGTTTATGGTAACTGAAATAAGAAACATAAGTTTGAGACTTGATATCCTCTAAATATCTGGAAAATACCACGTCAATGGTGGTCCCATATTTTGTTGTGGATTCTTGTGGATCATTATTCATTTTCAAATTCAATTTTTCCGAAATTGTGTCTAAAAGTGATAGAATCAGTTATGAGCAGTTAGCAGCTAGTCTACACGCATACGTCTAGTCGCACACATACAAACACCGTGCCGAAGTCTGCCGACCTGAAACGATGTAAGACGATGCACGCCTTTCAACG